GATTTTCTGGTCTGGTTTTCAACATGTCAGCATGGTTACATATGCAGGCATGTGGGCTGTTGGATGTCTGAATGTATGTGAATTATCCTGTACGCGGGTGCTGAATATATACAAAGGATTTCTAATTTCAAAGTGCAGCTGTTTTTATGCAGGTATATAGTTCAGGTGATGAGGGCTCCTTCCTGCGGGAAAACGGTTTGTTTCTTGTGGTGCAGTGGCTTTGAAATACATCTTGGAATATATAATGACTGAAAGACATGTTGCCTTCAATGTGATTGGTCACTGATGTTCTTGCCAACCTGTGAAAGTCCTCGACGGAGGGCAGATTGCAACTAATGTTTTGAAGACTGTCTCATTCACATGTGAGATATGAGCTGTACCAAACCATTTTGGATCAGATGCTGACAGATTCATTGATATAGAACTGTACTGAACTGAATCATCAAGGCAGCAGTTTGATCTTTGAAAATCACTGCCATTTTCATCTCTTGTATGTGTTTGCTGCTTGAGGTCCTAGGTAATTATGATTATCAGGAACCTGAAGTACTCAGTAGATTATAGTCACACAGGTGTAATTGTCCTGTGTGGCGTCTTGTCCTGTCTATTTTCTTTTCGTCTGTGCAGTGGATTGAGCGCAGCATGTGTACCCATTGATTAGTATTCACTCTACATCAAAAACAACTCTCTGAAACAGGAATATACAACAATTTCTTAGTTCTCTGCATCTGGGTTTGCATTTGTATCCATTTATAGAAATGGAGCAATTAAAACCCAAATTGCTCTATTTGACAAATGTTATACATTTTTATTAAAACTGGTTTTGACATGTGAGGCTGTGGGGATAAGAAAGGCACAAACGTGCAGAATGGTTCACATAACTGCTGCACTATTGCAGACTTAACCTCTTAATCTACAGGAAAAATCTTTTTCCTCTGAGACGTGTGGTTTTCCCAAACCGCTTTCCCCTAAGGCAAATCCTGATTGCAGTACATGCTCTTTTTGTATGCAGGAAATTTTAGACTAACAGGGCCTATAAATCTTGGTGCAGTGTAAACTATCTGGTTTTTCTCATCAGTTTGATGAGAAAATCCTATTAAATCTTATCTGCTCTTCTAAGTATTAAAAGCGATGAGCCAAAGCGATGTAACACAATGTCATGTTTAACATAATCTGAATGTCAAGTTAGTAGCAGTTTGCATGTTTTGTATTTTACTTTCAGTAGTTCCGTTCTTTTCAAGCATTTATTTTCAAATAGAGGTGAAAATTTGTAGGGGGTGAAAGATTTGGTAGCACATAATTCACTGAGATACATTTTTAATTGTTGCAAAATGTCAGGGGTGATTTGTCTAAATTCGCCAGCAAAATACACTACTGTTCAAGGCAGTGTGTTGGTAAGATGTTTTAATGCTTTCAAAAGAAATCTCTTATGCTCACCTAGGCTGCATTTATTGGATCAAAAAATACATTTAAATAGTAATATTATGAAATATCATTACAATTTATAACTGGTAACTGTTTTCTATTTTAATATGTTTTAAAATGTAATTTATTTCTTTGAAATGTTCACACAAAAAACAATTCTCACCTAGTAATGCATGTGATTTTATGCAAATTGCACAGCACTGCATTGGATTGTTGGCAGGCTGGTTGATTCACAATTAAATCTAATCTTGATTGTAACATAAAACATACATATAATTTGTATTTAGAAATCACATAAAGGGATAGTTCACCCAAAAATGTGTAATCATTTACTCGCCCTCAATTTGTTCCAAACCTGTATGAGCTTCTTTCTTCTGTTGAACACAAAAGAAGATATTTTGAAGACTGTTGGTAATCAAACAGTTGACGGTAGCCATTGACTTCCATAGTATAAAAAAAAAGGTAGCACATAATTCACTGAGATACATTTTTAATTGTTGCAAAATGTCAGGGGTGATTTGTCTAAATTCGCCAGCAAAATACACTACTGTTCAAGGCAGTGTGTTGGTAAGATGTTTTAATGCTTTCAAAAGAAATCTCTTATGCTCACCTAGGCTGCATTTATTGGATCAAAAAATACATTTAAATAGTAATATTATGAAATATCATTACAATTTATAACTGGTAACTGTTTTCTATTTTAATATGTTTTAAAATGTAATTTATTTCTTTGAAATGTTCACACAAAAAACAATTCTCACCTAGTAATGCATGTGATTTTATGCAAATTGCACAGCACTGCATTGGATTGTTGGCAGGCTGGTTGATTCACAATTAAATCTAATCTTGATTGTAACATAAAACATACATATAATTTGTATTTAGAAATCACATAAAGGGATAGTTCACCCAAAAATGTGTAATCATTTACTCGCCCTCAATTTGTTCCAAACCTGTATGAGCTTCTTTCTTCTGTTGAACACAAAAGAAGATATTTTGAAGACTGTTTGTAACAAACAGTTGACGGTAGCCATTGACTTCCATAGTATGAAAAAAAAAAATACTATGGAAGTCAATGGCTACCATCAACTGATTAATTAACAACATTCTTCATATCTTGTTTTGTGTTCAGCAGAAGAAACTCATACAAGTTTGGAACAACTTGTGGGTGAGAAATTTTTTTTTTCAGTGAACGATCCCTTTAAATTCAGTTTTACTATTTTTTTTTTCAGTAGATGGTATGCAGGAAACATGACTATTTACATCACAGCATGTCTATATATTCTGTCTGTATTTCTTTATGTTTGTGGTACTTGTTTGCTAGCCTCTATGTAGAATGTGTGTTTATTTTTATTCTGCTGCCCCTCTCAGACTGCCTGCTTTCAGTGCCACATTAGCACTACTGCAGCTGTCTTGCCATTTGGACATCAATAGAAAGCAGTTATCCAGAAATAGTGTATTCGAATATAACATTTAAATGGTGTTAAAGCTCTCTCCAAACCTGAAGAGTTGTTTCGAGTCAGCTAGCTGCCTTTAACTGAACATTGTTCCCACCAGCCTTTTAAATCAGTTTACTTCCTTGTTGAAACATTATCATCATGTTGGAAATTCATGCAGGTCTAACCTGGTCTTTTCAGCAGGGTACTCAGGATGATGGTGCAATCAGAGGTAATGCTAATCAGTGGTTTTAATTATATGTGTTCTTCTTGTCAAGGCTCATAGTGAGAGTGACATCATAATTACTATTCTCAATGCAACTCATAATTAATTCAAATTGCCTGAATTGGTTATTTATAATTCCACTAACTAACATGGCAAAATAAAGAAAGTTTATTTAGTGGATTCCTGTGGATTCCAGACAAAAGCATACTGCGTTACATCCTCCATTTGTCAGGAAAGAAACTGTTTTGGGTGTGAACTTGTGTGAATTTGTTTTCTCAGTGCAAAAACAATGTTCAACTTCGGAGACTAAATAATCATAAGGTAGTTGCATTGTTAAATAAATATTTATTTATTTCTCCAGTAACCCAACCAGACATGTTTCTCTGGCTAATTTTTCTCGCTGTTTTAAATTCAGCTGCTCTTTGCAGTGAAGACCAAATCAGCAATTATTCTGAGATGTCAATAGAAAAACAACTTGACTGTCCAAATTGGTTTGGGTTTGTCCAGCAGAAATGTTTTAATCAATATGAATGAACAGTTAGAAATTTTAATCAGTGGCCAAACTGGCTGTGGCAAAGTCTGACCCAAGTAAACAGTGGAAAGTGCCCTAAAAACTCTTCACTCAGTCCATGCCATCCAAAACCGATGTATTTTCAGCTGGCAGGCTCCTTACTGCACCTGACAAGGCATTACGTGTATTTGGCAGGATGTTGCCCCTAAAAGAAGCCAGCCATGAGAAATATGTCAGTGTTGGTCAAACAGTGGAACTGAATTTTTTTTGGAGGAGAATGATCTTCAAGTGGACGTCTTAAAGGAAAAGTTCACCAAGATTGTTTTTAATTTTGTGTTTAATCTTTTTTCAGAAATTTTGCATTACATCAATTGCTCACCATTGGATCCTCTGCAGTGAATGGGTGCCGTCAGAATGAGAGTCCAAACAGCTGATAAAAACATCACAGTAATCTACAAGTAATCCATACAACTCCAGTCCAGCAATTAATGCCTTGTGAAGTGAAAAGCTGTGTCACTGTAATAAATAAATCAATCATTATGAGTTTTTTTTACTGCAAACCACTGCATGAATGGCGTCCTCCATTCTTAATCTTGCTTTCTTCAGTGACAAAGTTGTCTTGTCTGAATCAGGAGAGAAATATGCACAGATCAAGCAGCTTTACAAATGAAAAAAAAAAAAAAAAAAACAGTTCTAAAAATTTCTTGGTGGATTTTGATGTGAGGAGCGACAGTTTAAAGTTAAAATGCCTTAATGATGGATTTGTTTATTACAGACACGCAGCTTTTCACTTCACAAGACATTAGTTGATGGACTGGAGTCATGTGGATTATTGTTGTCAACATTCATTGCACTCTCATAATGATGTTTTTATCAGCTGTTTAGACTCTTACTCTGACGGCACCCATTCACTGCTGAGAATCCATTCCTGTGCATGTAATGCTGGATTTCTTCAATTCTTTTCTGATGAAGAAACAATGCTTGTCAATTTTCTATTTTTTTTTAAATGTTTTTTTTTCAATTTCTGAAAGTCAGTTTCTGCATAGTTGCATACCATAAAAAAGTGTTTGAACTTTTCCACCATTATTGCGGAGGAAAAAACATACTGTTCATTTAAAATGCGCTGAACCTACTATTGGGGCATGTAGTCACAGTATCTGGGGTAAATTGCCACAATGCGAAACTGCAGCTTACTGAAATTGCTTTTTACAACTAGACCCTGTCTCTCCTATTGGGCCACACACATTAGATGTTGATTGTTTTTATATATATCATCATGGTAAAATATATTCAATATTCCAGCACAGCACAATGGCATTCAGTGGCAGAAATGTGTAAGTGCAGGACAGGACAAATCCACCCAGTGCACCCTCATATAACTGTGCTCGCTTTGAGATTTGTGCAGACAGAGCAGCTGTTTCCGAGCACTCATAATAGAAAGTCAACGCTGCTGCAGTTTTGCTATACATCAGTGATACCTTAATTTCAAACCCAAGATCTACAGAATGGATCTCTCTCAAAATACATTTCGGGTAAGTGTTTTTCAAACTGTAATTGTCACAAAAAATTAACTATTTTAATGCATATTATTTAGCCAACTGGTATTGGTATTTTCTATTAAAATTACAATTAAACACGGTTAATATATCGTTTATTATATGCTCTGTGGTAAAGAATAAACGCTGATTAAAGGGACTTGCAAATCCCCCAAAGTAACTTAAAATAAATTCGGTATACTGTTTACAAATATTTCATTAACCACAAAAGTTAGTCAGGGTGCATTATAGACGCGCGTAATTGCGTTCGAAGAGGTAACCATAGCAACAGTAGGGCGCTAGAACACGTTGTGTCAGTATATTCTCGTCAGTCAGAACATTGAAAAACTTGAACACTGATGTTATAACTTTTCATATTACAAATACATCACATACAAACTGTAGTGATTTGTTTAAAATGTCTTTTTAGGTAGTTGACAGTTCGCTGGCTGCGATAGGCACCATTTAGATTGAGCAAGACGAACCTCAAAGATCTCACCTTGAATATTACTGAATAAATAAATAAACGGTCTTGAAATTCTTTCATTTTTATTTTGCAGTGAACGGGACCTAATTTTTATCATCGACATATGGTGCTAATTGCACATCATAACAGCATCTTTCCACACATGTGTAACGATATATAACGCGTTAGAACCGCCACAGCAGCGCGCTCGGACGCGCATTTTACGCATAATGGAGAGCCTGCTGAAAGAAACTATCTTCTGGCCCTTCAACGACTCCTGGGCCAATTCAAGCAAGGGAAACGGCAGCAGTGGACTGAACCAAACCGTAAATCCTCTGAAGCGCAACGAAGAAGTGGCTAAAGTCGAAGTAACCGTCCTCGGGTTGATTCTGCTGCTGGCGCTCGCCGGCAACCTGTGCGTCCTTGTGGCTATCCAGGCGAGTAAACACGTTCAGTCGCGGATGTACTATTTTATGAAACACCTGTGCATTGCCGACCTGGTGGTGGCGGTTTTTCAAGTTCTCCCCCAACTTATTTGGGACATCACCTTTCGTTTTTATGGACCAGACATTCTGTGCCGCCTGGTGAAGTACCTACAGGTGGTTGGCATGTTCGCGTCCACTTACATGCTCGTGCTGATGTCTATCGACAGATGTTTGGCTATATGGCAGCCTCTGCGATCCCTGCGACGTCGAAAGGACCGTTTTTTCGTGCTGGCCTCTTGGATTATAAGTCTGCTCTTCAGTTTGCCACAGGTGTACATCTTCTCCCTCAGAGAGGTGGGCGACGGGGTGTTCGACTGCTGGGGGGATTTTGTTCAGCCCTGGGGCGCAAAGGCTTACGTTACATGGATTAGTCTCACAATCTATATCATTCCTGTAGCCATTTTAAGCGTTTGTTATGGACTTATAAGCTATAAAATATGGCAAAACTTTAAGCTTAAGACCCGGCGCGACCAGTGCCTGTCGTTGACCCCGCGGCCAGCTAAGGGCACCGCGCTCTCCCGCGTCAGCAGCGTCAAGTTGATCTCCAAAGCTAAGATCAGGACGGTGAAAATGACGTTTGTGATCGTCCTGGCTTATATCATCTGCTGGACGCCGTTTTTTTTCGTTCAGATGTGGTCCGCCTGGGATCCAATGGCTCCAAGAGAAGGTAATACAGGATGTTAGTTGAATATTTGTGTATAATACATGTGCATAAACATTTTTAATGAAATGTGTTGTTGTATCTCTAGTAAAACACCACTTTGTTGCATACAATGTCTCCAAATTAGTGCAAACTTTAAAGAAATGTAAAAAACTATATAGCACATGTTTCAAGCAAAATATTTCACAAAAGAAGTTTTTTTGTTACTTGGGTTGATATTTGGCTATCTAATGCCAAATACAAATATCACTGTCATGGAGAATTTGTGTTCTGTAGTGAATATGATTTTTTTTCTATAGTTATACTCATATTTATAAAATATATACTGTATATAAAAAAAATCATTATTCAGGTATTATAAACAACTAAGACTATGGAAATTTGGGGCCCTAGGATACTTTTGTTGGCCCATGAAGGCAGGCCCTGATCATACCCTCAAACAGTAATAAAAACCATTTATGTCCATGTAATCTGCAAGGTATGTAGCTTTCTGGTCTATGAGTTTAAAAAAGCATGATAAATCTATTATATGGAAATAAAACAAGATGTTTAATGTACAGAAGAGTCTTGTGCAATCTAAGATATACCTAAATCCAGTCATAGATAAAATTGCACCTAATAAAATATCTACATTTTATGCTTTCCATTGGAATGGTATTCTTTCATGTTTCTCTAGTCATCTCTTTTTAACTTTATAAACACTGTGCCCTAAAACCCACTGATTGTTGCATAAACCCAAAAACATTTCCCGGAGTAAAATACAGACAGAGACAGATGAAAACGAGTGTCTGAATAGCGGTTCAAACACCCTCAGGTAGTTTTGGTAAAGTAAATGTAGCATGACATCAAACGGTTCCTCTTTATCCTGTCTAGATCCTAAGGAGTGTGTCTTCTGTGTAATTTCATAACATTATTATTATAATTATAATTATGTTTAAGAGAACAAATGACTCTGGGATTCAACCTTATGAAAAATATTATATAATAGCTATCGTAGCTGAAAGACAATGATCTAAGACTAGAGCAAAAAAAAATTTAAATAATCAGATTCAAAATAATTGGAGTTTCAGCAATAAGGCATTGAATGGACAATAGAGATCAAACTAGATATTAAAATCTTTCATCAAGCAGTTCATCCAAAAATGAACATTTTATCATTTCTTACTGATGCTTATGTCTTTTAAAATCTGTGGTGTCATTTTTTTCTGTGGAACACGAAAGTATTTTTTATTAAGAATCTGCAGGCAACTCTTTTCCCTAATGACAGGTCATAGTGACCATGGTTTCAAGCTGCAAAATGAACCAATTTTCATTTTTGAATGAACAGTTATTTTAATATACCAAGGTGTGCATCATCAGTCCATCACGTAAACTTATTTTAGACTTATTTTAGAGACAGAGCCTGTTCTTAGCGACAGCTCTAAATGTCATTGTTATTAAACAGATTTTTTTTTTTTTCGAAAATGACTCCATCTGCACATCTTGACCCGACAAGAACTCGCATCCTGCTGTCAGTTTCAATGAGGATTTTCAGAACATCGACTGTGTAATGAATACACAGATTTAAATGACCATAGATGATGCTGTCCAACAGGCACATGCACACATAGACATCAAAGGGGGCTTGAGCACCTGCCCTTTTTCTTCCTCGAGAGAAAGTGCCCTTTTTTGGGGGGGAGTTTTATTATTATTATTATTATTATTATTATTTTAATAAATGTATATATGTGTGTGCGTGTTTCTGCGCACAGCTTTCCCTGTCAAACAAATAAAAAATCTAAATAACAGGTCGGGTCAGGTCAGGAAATGTTGAGATCCTGTCGAGTTCCGATGCCTTTCTCCCCTCCGCGCAGGCGCGCAGCACAGCAGTGTAGCACACATTGATCGGCACATGCACATCAAACAGGCAGAGAGCCACAGAAGTGAAGCCCTCCCTCCCTTTCCAGTTGTGTTTGTCATGGTGTGGAGGTGAGTGGTGATGATCAAAAGACAAAGCTACCTGTGCCTCGAATTTACAGCTAATTATCCAAAAGGCAAAAGACAAATAAAGTTAATTTGTCTTGCTAACATCCATGACTCTGAGCAACATAATGGTGTTTCGTTCCTGAATGAATCATCTGTTTAAATGATTCGGTTCAATCGCAATGACTCACTTATTAACAGTAACTTGCTGCCACCTACTGGTGGTTTTAATTTCACATTTAAAATGTCTTAATGCATTTGTAACTGCAGGTTAAAGCATTCATGTCCTGCATTAAACAGTGTGTAAATGCATCTAAATGCCACTTCAGATGCAGCTTCTGTGTTTCCTCTGCATTGCAAAT